TCCAGGTGTGCAGAGGTCCGGGGGACGTTGCTCGGGATTTTCCCGCAGGGGCCGTGGCCGGAGCCTCCCCAGGTTGTCGCTTGTCCTCCTTGCCCTGTTTGTTTGCCATGAAGACGCTTCTTCCTGCCCGGGTCCACCTTGCAAGGGCCCCCCATTAAATGCGCCCATTTTTCTGGGTGACACTGAGACACACCCTCTGGAGTGTCCCCTTGACCCGGCCCCTGTTGGGGCAGGAACAAGCTGGGGTGAGGCCTGGTCATGTGCCCCCCATCTACTGCCCCAGGGCACAGCAGGTGCCTGGCTCCTCCCCCACCAGCCGAAGTGACAGGCGTGGTGTGTGGGCCCACAGGGGTCCTTTGTCTCTCTTGCCAGAGTCGCACCCGCTCTGAGCCTGGTGGGTGACGCTCGGTCGGAGCTGGTGGGTGGTGGGGCGCTCAAAGGGCAGGGCAGAGTCTGGCCTGTGTGTCCAGGAGAGATGGCTGGCAAGGTCTGCCAGCCCCTCCCGCTTTCTGGGCGCTGTGTGAGTTTCTGGTTGCTGTGGTAACAGAGGACGACAGACTTGGTGGCTTGAAGCAGGACATTCGTCACCCTGGGGCTCTGGAGGTCGGAGTCTGCCCTGTGCTCCCTGGGCTGAAGTCAGGGTGTGCGCGGGGCCGCGTTCCTCTGGAGGGTCAGTGGGAAATTCGTTCTGGAGCTGCCCACGCTTCCTGCGTCTTCAAAGCCAGCAGTGGCAGGATGAGTCTGTCTCAGGTCACAGCGCTGGGACCTCCTCTCCTGCCTCCCTCTCCCACTCTTGAGGGCCCTTCTGACAGCACCGGGCCCACCAGGACAACCCAGGGTCACCTCGAATCTTAGGGTCACCGATTAGCAGCCTTAGTTCCATCTGTTCTCAGTTCTCCCTGGCCGCGGGACCCCCCCACGGTCGCGGGCTGTGGGGTCAGGATGTGGGCGTCCTCGTGGGCCTGCCGTTCTGCCCGCCACAGGCGCCAGGCTCTTCCTGCATCTTAAGTACTGCTCTGGTGGCTGAAGGCGCCAGAGCCTTCGCCCCACGGTCCTGCCTCCCTCAGCCTGCCTGGGGCCGAGCCTCCCTGGAGGCCTGTCCCAGGTCCCCTCCTGAGCACAACCCGGGAAGCCACCATTAAGCAACGTGGACAGGGCCGAAGGGAAAACCATGAACTGCCCTGCCACCTGGCACCTTTGCTTCCAACCCTCCTGTCTCCGTCAACACATTACGCAGCTGCGACTGACTGCAGGTGACATTCTGGTCGCCTGTCTTTTGGCCGCTGCCTCCGTGGTCCACTCTTGTTAGCCAGGACGGCGCAGGACCGGCCCGGGCGCCTGCCGCGGCGCCTCCTCTCGCTGACCTCCCGGGGAGCCCGGACGCTGAGCCTCTGGAGCTGAGGTCGCCCGCCCCGAAGCTGGGATTCTTTAAAACTTTCATTTTTATCGTGGTAAAATATACATAACATAAAATTTGCCATTTTAACTATTTTTAAGTGTACAATTTGGTGGCATAAATGGCATTCACAATGTTGTGCAGCCAACACTGCTGTTTCCAAAACTCATCCCCACCCCGAATCGAAACTCACTCCCAGCCCTAGCCCCAGCCCCATCCCCCGGTAACCTCTAACCTATTCTGTCTCTACGGACTTGTCCATTCTAGATAGTTCTCGTAAGCGGGACCGTACGATGTTAGTCCTCTTGGTGCCGCCTTATTTCAGCCTAGCGCCCTCGGGCCCGTCCAAGGTTGGCACGCGTCCGGATTCCCTTCCTTTTCAGACTGAGCAGCGTTCCACGGTGCGGACACACCCGTTTGTCCCTCCGTTCATCCCTCTGTGGGATCGTGCTGCCGCGAACACGTGTCCGAGTCCCAAGTGGGCTGCCGGCTCACAGGGCGCGCGACCTTTCGCTTTCTGAGGGGCGGCCAGACTGTCCTCTGCCGCGGCCGCCCCGTCTTACGTTCCCACCAGGGACGCGTGAACGTTCCGGTTTCTCCACATCTTCCCCAACAATTGTTCTTTTCCTTTTTAAGAAAAATCTCAGCCGTCCGTCTTGGTCTATTTTCCGTTGCCTACGATGGAACACCTGCTGTGGGTGATTGCTCACGGTTCTGGAGGCTGGGAAGTCCCAGGTCGAGGGGCTGCATCCGGCAAGGGCCTTCCCCTGGTGGGGACCCTCCACGGAGTGCCGAGGCACAGGGCATCCGTGGGGAGGACGCCGTGCGTGCTAACGTGCCAGCTCCGCTCTCCCTCTTCGTATAAAGCCACCAGCTGCCCTCCCATGATAAGTGATTAATCCATGAATGCATTAATACATTCTTGAGGGCAGAGTCCTCTTGACTCAATCGTCTCTTAAAAGCCCCACCTCTCGGCCCTGCCACGCTGGGGTGAAATTGCAGCCTGAGTTTTGGAAGGGGCGCTCAAGCCGTAGCACCATCCTCACTGCGGTTTCAATTCGCATTTCCCTGATGACTAACGGCGTTGAGCATCTCTTTGTGTGTTTGTTGGCCAGGTAGATGTCATCTTTGGAGAGATGTCTCTTCCCATCCTCTGCCCATGTTTTATTTGGGTGGTTTGTCTTTTTGTTGTTGAGTTGTATGAGTTCTTTGTATGTTCTGGATATGAAGCCCTTATTTGGAGCTGGAATTTGAACCCGGGCTGGCCTGCACTTGAACCTCACTCCGAACTCTGCTTCCTCCTGTCCTCCCACAGGCTCTGGCCCCCTTGGGCCCCCGTTGAGCGGGGCTGAGGTTTGTTACCCGTCGCTGGGCTTCCCTGCTCTCTCGAAGTTCTGCTTACACGTGCTGGGGCTGTTCCTCTTGTGGATCTAATGGGGTCATGTCCTTGGCTGGCTCCCAGGGAGATGGCATCTGGGGTCAGAGGGCCTGGGAGATTGCACTGTGCGTGCAGCTCCTCCCAGGCTGGTGACACCGTGTCAGGCCTGAGGCGGATGGAATGGGGCCGTGGGCGGTGGGGCGTCCTACTCTGCCCACCCTGCCAGCTGCTCTGGGGCCACATGCAGCATTGGCCCTGAGAGGTAGGGGCAGTACCTTGGGCCACCTGGAGGGTGTCCCCGGGGTTGCTGCTCCCTTGGTTTGGGGCCAGGAACATGTCGCTGCAAGGTGAGGCGGGGCTTGGCAGGCAGCAGGGCTCGGCTGTGGGCCGCCGGGATTTTGGCCCGAGGGATTCTGTCGGCTTCCTGGGCAGATGGGCCTGTGGTTATAGGACGTTATAGGACTTCTTCCCAACATCTCCCAGCAGACGCGGGCTGTGCCACCCGTGGGGACCAGTGTGGTTCAGTGGGACCGAGACCTCGAGAGGCACAGCACGCCCTCGCCAGCTTATGCTAGGGATGCTGAGCCCAGAGAGGCCAGGAACGCAGCCCTGCCACACAGCGAGGTCTGGACGGCCCTGGGGCCCCAGCCTGTGGCTCCACAGCTCGGCGGGAGAGTTTTAGGCCTGAGTCTCCTCTGCCTGGGGCAGAGTCCCGTTGCCCACGCTGTCGGGTTTCTCCCAGACACGACGTTTTGTCTTCAGTCACTGGAGAGACGTAACTGTACCTTGCAGGCTGGTGACCAGATGGCATCTGGAGGCCAGGACGTGCCCTCGGGTGTGGGAATCCCCCCACCCCGTATCACCCCAGCCTCGGTCTCCTCGCCTGTCGCCTGTGAGGAGGACCCGGGTGGGCTGAGCAGTGTCGGCCCCTCCGCACTCCGCATGTGGGGGCCACTTCCTGGGTCACTCGGACAGAGCTGGGGCCGATTCTGCCTTGGTCTGGCCGATTCCAGTCTGGGTCCCCAGCCTCTCCACCGTCCTGGGGAGCCCTCTTCGCAGCCAGCCCTGAGGAGGGGCGCCTGGGCCGCCCGCCTGATGGCTGGGTGGGGTGGAGTGGACACTGGTGATGTTGGGGACCCGAGAGACCAGTGCTGACTGACCTGGGGGTGCCCTGGGACAAGCCCCCGCCCTTCTGACTCAGTTTCCGCACCTGTGCGTGATGGTACCGGCTCCATCTCTGAGGGTCTGTTTGCCTTTGCCTGGGGAGCAGGGGACAGAGCAGACTCGGGGGTGTCTGTCACCTGGAGTATGTGGCGACCCCCCGCCCTGTCCCTCCTACGTAGCCTGCGCGCTCACCTTCTGCCTCCAACCCGCCAGCCCCTCCTGCCGAGCAGCCACAGGTTTCTGGAAGGCACAGCTCCCCTCACCCGGGGGTCTGGGTGTCCCCCCACCCTGCTGCTCCTTCCCGCCCTCCCCTGCTCGGCCGACTCCCACCCTTGTTGTTTTTTCCTTTTTTGTAAAACAAAAAACAGGAAAGTACAGAAGATACTATAACAAACATGTCCCACGTGAAACCAGTGCACCCAACATCTTACATTTCCTTCAGTTCTGGCTTGTTTTACAAACCGAAACTCTCACGACAAAGCGGAGCCTCAGTGTTCCCCTCCCTGGCCACCGATGCCCACCCCGGTACCTGTTGGGTTTGGGGGTGTGCAGGCTGCGTTGTCACTCTCAGGCTGCGTCTGAGCCCCGGTGGTGCACGGCACGATGTGCAGCTGGCCGGGGCGCGCCGGGGGCCGGGCAGCCGTAGCTCTGCGGCTGCTTTGATTTCTGGCATCGCATCATTACGTTTCTGAGACCCGTGTTGACGGCTGATCTTTATTTAGGCTGGGGGCAAGTCCCCCCACTCTGGCAAGTCCCCTCAGACCCCCCAGGTGGTGGGGAGGTGGGTGTGCACGCCCAAGGCTCCGAAGCACAAAGGCAGGGCTGGGTCTCGGTGACTCCCGCCCCTCCCCCTGAGGTCCTGGGGGTGGGCAGAGGGTGCTGGGGAGGGGCTGCGTATCGCCATGCCACTGCCTGGGCGCTTCCAGGACAGGTGGTGGAGGGAGGGAGGGAAGACAGGAAGAGTGGAGGGAGGGAAGGGAAGGGGCAGGGTGGGCAGCGCGCGTGTGGCGCCCCCGCCTGTGGCGGGTTCCTGCCTCAGATGCCCCCTTGTCTCACCCGCAGCCAAGTACCCGGCCATCAAGGCCCTGATGCGGCCGGACCCGCACCTCAAGTGGACGGTGCTGGGGCTGGTGCTGGCGCAGCTGCTGGCCTGCTGGCTGGTGCGGACGCTGGCGTGGCGCTGGCTGCTCTTCTGGGCCTACGTCTTCGGCGGCTGCGTGAACCACTCGCTGACGCTGGCCATCCACGACATCTCGCACAACGTCGCCTTCGGCACGGGCTTCGCCGCCCGCAACCGCTGGTTTGCCATCTTCGCCAACCTGCCCGTGGGCCTGCCCTACGCCGCCTCCTTCAAGAAGTACCACGTGGACCACCACCGCTACCTAGGTGGCGACGGGCTGGACGTGGACGTGCCCACGCGCCTCGAGGGCTGGTTCTTCTGCACGCCCGCTCGCAAGCTGCTCTGGCTGGCGCTGCAGCCCTTCTTCTACTCGCTGCGGCCGCTCTGCGTGAACCCCAAGGCCGTGACCCGCATGGAGGTGCTCAACACCCTGGTGCAGCTGGCAGCCGATGCCGCCATCTTTGCCCTGTGGGGGCTCAAACCCGTGGCCTACCTGCTGGCCAGCTCTTTCCTGGGCCTGGGCCTGCACCCCATCTCGGGCCACTTTGTGGCCGAGCACTACATGTTCCTCAAGGGCCATGAGACCTACTCCTACTACGGGCCTCTCAACTGGATCACCTTCAACGCGGGCTACCACGTGGAGCACCACGACTTCCCCAGCATCCCCGGCTGCAACCTGCCCCTGGTACGTGGCTGCGGGCTGGCGGGGCTGAGCATGTCAAAGGAGGTGGGGACCCCTGGGGAGGGCCCTGGGCTGGGTTCGGGCTACCTTTTCCTTTTTGTGCTGGTCATGGGATGGCCACTCCCACTTGTGGTCCCCAAGGCATTAGGAAAGGCCACACAGCACAGGCGAGTCCCCAGCTGGTCTCAAGAGGCACATGTAGTATGGGGCTGCTTTGTTCAGTGGAAACCTGCCTGAAGCCACTCTGCTGTTTACTGGCTGTGTGTCCGTGGGCAAGCTGCTTGCCCTCTCTGGGCCTCAGCTGCCTCTTCTGCAAAGTGGGTTGGTGTTAGTGATACTGCATGTGAAGCACCCTCCTTCCTGCCTCCAGACTCCCTGTCCCTGCTTACTTGTTGTCACTGCCCTGTGACCTTCCAGGGGCCCCCTCCTAGCTCAGACATGGCCAGTGTGGACAGGATGGGCCTGGCCCTTTGCAAACCAAGGGGTTTGGCCTGAGCTGCCAGGGGACAGAAGCCTCTGGGGTTGGCACCTCCGCCTTGGGAGACCTGGAGTTGGAGAATTTCTGAGCGAGATGGGAGGAAGGGGAGGAAGGGGAGGAGGAGGAGCCCCTCAGCTGGCCCCCGTCTGACACCTTGATGGCAACTGGCTGCTTAGAAAGAGCTGAGGTGACCTGCGGCAAAGGTGGGGTGGGAAGGACATTCGGGTGCCTGAGCGTGCGAGTCTGTGTGTGCACGTTTGTGTGTGAGCACGTCTGTCCTGTGATTGTGTGAGTGCAGGTGCTGTGCATGTGGTTACCTGTGCTTGTCTGGGTGTACAGGTGTTGGTGCACACCCGTGTGTGCGCACATGCGTGTGCCCTGGCCCGTGTGATCTTGGAGTCCGACAGCCCGTGTCCCGCCCCTCCTTTCCCGCCGACCGTTCCAGAGCCTGCTCTGTGCCGCTGCCATCTCACCTGACCTCCGCTGCAGCCCAGGAGGCAGATGCCCTCGTTATCCATCACCCCCATTTTCCAGACAGGCAGGCAGAGGCTCAGAGAGGGGTGCCACCTGCTCAGGAGGTGGCAGAGTGAGGATCTGACCTGAGCTGGTCGCCGAGTGCCCGTGTCAGCCACCAGCCTTTACTTTTCCCGAGCAAAGCGAAAGGCCCCGGCGCCAGGCGCAGGCCCCGTGTGTCTCTCAGCTCCGCTGTCCTCCCGTGTGGTGGGGCTCCACATGCCCTGTGCCCTGGGCGCGTGCTCCCTGGGGGTGGGGAGGGCGTCCTGCGGGGCCAAGGCCGCGCGCTGGCGGCAGGCAGAGCTGCTTGGAGCAGTTCCTGGAGGCGGGAGCGAAGGCCGGGGAGAGGAGGTGCAGGACAGGCATTTGGGAAGTGACAAGTACTGAGGTGGGGAGGAGGGTGTGACGGGTGAGGCCCTGGGGGGCCGAGGGCCCAGCAGCAGGACTCAGGCCAGGTGGTGTTGGGAGGGGAAGGAAGCCCCTGGTCCTGGATCAGAAAGTTGGGGGTGGGCGCGGGGCGGGGGGGCACACGTTCACTCCTGGACTCCCACCTGGGCAGGGCCCCGAGCTGAGCCCGTTGGCGTCCACTGCGGCAGGGTCTTGGCTCAGCCTGGGTCCCTCGCTCCCCTTCAGGCAGCCTGAGGAGGGGGGGCAGGCAGGGAGGTGGACACTGGCACCCCAGGAGGGGACGGTGTGTGCGCGTGTGAGTGCGTGTGGCGGAGGGGACAGCTGGCTGAGACGCGCTGACCAGCCCCTCCCCCTGCAGGTGCGGAAGATCGCGCCCGAGTACTACGACCACCTGCCGCAGCACCTCTCGTGGGTGAAGGTGCTCTGGGATTTTGTGTTTGAGGACTCCCTGGGGCCCTACGCCAGGGTGAAGCGGGTGTGCAAGCTGGCGGAGGACCGTCTGTGAGCCTGGTCGGACCCCTGTCCTGCGGGGTGGGAGCCCCAGGTTGCTCCTGCTGGTTGCCACGGCCTAGAGCCCGAGAGCTGGCTGGGCCGCGTTTGACTCCGCAGAGGGCTGCTGCTCTCGTCCCCCAGCAGGCCCTGGAATTGCCATCGGCAGCCAGCCCTGGCGACAGTGGCAGGGCTGCAGCCTGGCACAGTGCCTGGTCTGCACGTGGACTCGCTGCGGCCTTGGGACAGGCCTCCCCCTCTGGCCCCGCCCCACCCACCGAGACCGAGGTGCTCTGTGCCCACGGTTGCCACGGAGCGGACTTCTCTGGTGTTCCTGTGCCCTAAATTAAATCCAGTGTGTGTTGTCACAGTCTGTGGAGTGTGTTCTGAGGGGTGGTGGTGGCCCGGCTGCCCTGGCAGGTGGAGCCTGAGGCCCAAGCGGTGCTTCGTCCAGGCCAGTCCCATGTCGTGTCCCGTTTGCTCTGGCTCCTTGGGAGGACGGTGGCCTCTTGGGTGTGCGCAGCCGAAGGCATGCCTGGCCTGAAGCCCCTCCCCTCCCTGGCTGAGCTCTGCAGGGCCCCTCTGCCTTCTGCCCTCCCCCTACAGGAAGCCTTCCCTGAGCCCAGAGAGGGTTCAGGCCCGACAGTGGGGCCTATCTATCTCCCCGCCCTCAGAGGTGGGGGCTTAGCGAACTCCACACAGGACAGGTGCCCGAGCTCAGGGGCCGGACGGGCAGATGAATGCTCAGCGGGAAGCAGGCTGGGCAGTGTCCTTGGAGTCTGTATGAAGCGGGGACACACATCTGCCCTTTCTGCAGAAGGGCTGATGGCACAGCTGGGACCTAAGGAGGCTGCCTTCTCCTGGGGGGCTGGATTGGGGTGGGGTGAGGAGTCCTGGTGTCCCAGAGGCAGGCGGGCAGGCAGCAGTGGGGTGCTGGAGTGAGGCCCTCCCCGCAGCCCTGGGAAGGCAGCCTCCATGGCTTAGGGAAGGGAGGCTGAGGCTAGGGCTTGGCTGTCCCTGCTGCCCTAGGAGAGGGAGGGCTGGGAGGAGGCCTGAGAGTGGCCTTGCGTGGTGCCAGGCACTGTCTCCGAATGGTCTGACTGCTGACATGGCGCAGGCAAGAGGTCTAGTCCAGGGCTTGTTCTGCGAGGACTTTGATCTTGGGCGGGCCGCCCGTAGGCCCAGGAAAACCGGAGAGCCAGCCCCTCCCGTGGCTGTGCCTAGAGGGCTCCTCCACCCACCAGCAGGCCTTTCTGCAGACTGCACAAAGGGGCACGTCCGGGCCACACCCACCGGCTGGGGCCTGGGGTCCGAGGGTGTCAGCAGTCCCAAGGAGAAGGCCTCTGTTCTCTGGGGGGAGGGTGTCAGCAGGGGCTCGGAGCCCCCAGGGCTGCATCGGCCCTCTGAAGGCCACCTGCCAGCTCCCCAGCCCCCAGGCCCAAGACTGGGGGATTCCTGGACCTGGCTCAGAACGGCCATCAGACCTGGGAAGCCGTCCTGGGAGCCCAGCCTTGGCGTCTCGCCTCGCGGCTGGCAGCACAGCCACCCCCATCGTTCAGGGCTGCGGAACACTCAGGGAGCTGAGGTACGTCAGGAGCCGGACCAGGAAATGGTAGGCCCCTTGTAATCAGCAGACCAGGCCCGGGAGGTGAGCGCCTCCCCCGGTGGCCCTCAGGGTGGCTGGGCACAGAGAGTGCTCTGTGGCTGTGGGAGGTCACGTGGGACAATCCGGAGCATGAACAGTCCCAGGACCTCAAGGCTGCAAGGGTCGGACTCTCTCTGGCCGTGATGGGGAGCGGGTGCCTTAGGCAGGCGTGTGGCCTGCACCTGCTGCCACAGGGCAGAGACCCCCCTCCCCCGCCCCCCGAGGGTGCAGGAGGCAGAGCCGCCTTCCCTCTGCCCGCCACGTGCTGGGCCCCAGTCCCATTCCTCCATCTGAACGGTACAGGCGCGCGGGGGCAGGGGGTCCCTGTGGTGTTCCGAGGCGTCAGCTGCACTTAGGGCCCATCCACCCAGGGGGAGACCGTAGGGGTGGGGGTGGGGGGGGTCCCCGCAGGCAGGACCTGAGGCCCAGCTCCAGGTCACGGGCCGGAGGTGCTATGCTGCCCCAGCTCACCCTCCCAGGTCTCGGATGTTCCGATCGAGCCCAGCCACCCACTGAAGACCTTGTCTTGCTCCTCTGACTCCTGTCGCCATGGTCGTGGGCCTATCCCCTGCCAAGAGCCACCTAGAACCAGTGCAAGAGAGCGAGAGCAGGAGCCCGAAATTGTGGACAGTAAACCGTTTATTACCGTGTGGACACAGACACCACGGTGCACGGACAGTTTCAACACCATGATTGCTGGGGACAGAGCTGCGCTCAGACAGCTCTGCTGTGTGGTGACACCACGCTGTGCCTGGCCATCATAGCCAGCAGAGGCGCTAAGAGCGTCACCTAGGAGAAAACTTGGAAACCATCTAATGAAGCAGGTGATTTGGTGGGGGTGGGGGATCGGGGTGTCCTCTCTATAACCCAAAAGAAATGTACACTTAAATAAGCAAATATAAAATACAAAAAAGACGAGTAGACCTGGTGTTCTGTGTCAGGTAGAATCTAAAAAAATCCTGGAACTGAACTTTGTTTCCTCATTTTAATATTTTATCACAGGTTAAGACTGTTAAATGAAGCGCTTCCAAGCTCCGTGCAGCTCTGCGTGTGCTGGAGGCTGGGGCTGGATGGGCGCCTCGCTGTCCTCCCGACGGCCTCGACGTCTCGGCGCCGTTTACGTGGTGCTGATGCCGCTCAGCTCCTGCCTGATGGCTGGGGACAGGCACAGGGGAGGCTCAGCGCGCAGGGCTGGCCCGGCCCCCGCTCCTGCCAGGTGCCTGGACCTCACTCCTGACAGACCTGCCTGGGGCCCGTCCCCCACTGTCTCTCAGAGCCGGGGGCACAGGCTGGAGGCCCAACAGTGCTGTGGGCTTTGGCACAGACCTTTGCGTGATAACAGAGCGCTTGGGGTCTCCTCTGCCCCTTCTCCTGCAGTAGTCCCTGCCGCGGGGTGGAGGCCAGTGACCGGCCCATGGCCTCGGGGCCGCTGAGCACCAGGACCCTGCGTGAGGAGCTGCCCGTGCTGAGCTGCAGGGTCTTTGGAGGCCCTGGACATACGGGACCCAGGTCTACTGGAGGACCTGGGAGCCCCTCTCTGACAGAGTGGAGGTTGGGCTCTGGCCCGTCTGGCTTCTGCGGGGGCAGCAGGAAGTCCCTGGCCTGGGAGCCCAGTGGGCTGCGCTGGTCTGCCCACAGCCCTGGCCTGAGCCCTTCCTTCCTCCACGGCAGAGGCCAGGGCTCCTCTCGGTCCTCCCCCTAGATCTGGGCCTGTCGCTCCTCCCTCTTAGCCCCCTGCTCCCCACAGGCCTTTGGTGTCCCCTGTTCCTGCTCTGCTTCCTCCACGGCAGCTCAGGCTTCTCCCTGGACAGACCTCACGGGGCCAGGGTGGGCACCGTCAGTAGCAGGGCGCCACTGTTCAGGGCCCCTGGCGTGACCTGTGCTTCCCTGCGGGCTGGGGTGGCCCCTGTGGCAGGTGGGAGAGACTGAGGCTGGGGCTCGGGGTTCCCACCACACCCCACTTCTCCGTCCCTCTGCAGGTGTCCGCTCCGCTGTGGCCCTCGAGGGCCCCCAGCAACTGCCGGGTGCGTGTCTGCTTTTGTGGCTCCGGCTCTGCTCATTTGTTAGCGCCTTATCTCCCCAGCCCAGGCCTTGCAGCGAGGTGGACAAACAGGAACTGCGTGCTCCCTGCTCTAACTAGGGTGTGGCGGCTGCGAGGGGAGGCCCAGGCTGGTCCGCAGGCTCCCGCTGGGCCTCCTCTCCCCGCTGCCACCAGCCTCCACCCCTTGGGGTGCAGGGGACTCCCTTGCCCAGCCACATGTCGCTGCTCCGTGGAGGGGCTGAGCCCGCTCTGCCCCACCTTCCCTTCCCCTCTGGCCGCAGATCTGAGCCAGCCCCTCAGGGGCTCTGGTGGGAACAGGAAGGACGGATGTGACGCCGCAGGGGGGACGTCCTGCTCTCTGGAGCCAGAGGCTCCTTCGAGCCACCCATGCCTGCTCCTCAGCCCGGGCCAAGCAGGCGCAGGCCTAGAAGGTAGTTCTGTGGCTCTTGGTCCCCCTGCGCCCCAGAGAGACGGCAGTCTCCTCTGAACCCCAACCCCAGTGACTGGAGGCGGCAGCAAGTCAACAGGTAATGAAATAAAGAACAAAAACTTGAAGTGGCTTCTACCAGGCTGGGCTTTGGAATGTACGCTGGGAGCACCCCCTCCACACACGAGCACCCTGAGCCCCCAGGGAGAAGCAGGGAGAAGCGGAAAGGCCCAGATTCGAGTGTCAGACACCAGGGCGGTACGTGTTCTTAGGCAAGTCACTTCTCTGAGCCTCAGTTTCCTCAACTAGAGATTACAAGAATGGAGTTTCTTAAGTGCAGTACTGGCCCTGGCTTAAACCCGCAGGCTGCCTGGCCTAGAAGGCCGCCACCCCGGGGGACCCTCCACCCCGTGGCCAGCCCCGGGCGATGTCCCGCTCCCGGCCGTGGGCCCTTCACTCACCGTCGATGATCTCCTCCTTCACCTTGTGAAGCTCTCTGACCACCTCCTCTAGGATCTCCTGGTGGGAGCAGAGCATCGAAGTGGAGGGACAGGCAGGGGGACAGGGGAGCTGGCCTTGGTGGGGACGTGTCAGAAGTGTTGGGCTGCAGCTCTCACCCTTGCCTGACTCCTTGTGGCCCCTCGGCTGCCCTCCCCACGTGGAGGCCAGGGACGCCTGGGAACTCCTGCTGCCCACCACCCTCCAAGTCTACGTGGGCGAGGCCGAGGGCTTCCCCTGTGTGGGCCTCGTTGGGCAGATTGCCCCCTCCTGCTGGCCGCTCCTGGCCTCTGTGGGAAGGACGCACTCACCTGTTTCATCCGGTCCAGATCGAAGGCGTCCAGGGCCACGTCACTGACGCCCCCGGCAGGCTTCATCCTGGGGAGAATGGCAGGGCAGTGAGGGGACAGCAGGCCCGAGGCCCCCCACGCTAGTGGCCGGCGTCAACAGGAACGCTGGGTGTGCCGGAGCCCGCTGCAGGGCTGCGCGCTGCCTGCTCCCCTTGCCTCTCGGGACTTTCTTGCTTCTTATCTATGGCCACCCTTAGACTACCTGGAAAGGATCTTCACGCCCAGTCTCTACTGCAAGAGGGTCTCCACGGATACTGGGACCATATTTCCCAACCCGAGAGTCAGTTCTTGGGGTCCAGAAGAGGAGCTGTTCTGGTTTGAGAGCTCTTGCACAGACGTGGCGACTCAAGCACGCCACCCTCGCCTCCCCGGAAAGACACCAGCTCCCATAACCTGCCCTCGCGCTGGGGTTTACGTGCCTGGCTAAAACTGAGGCTTGGGAAACCAGCAACAGTGGCATTGAGTACGTGAGGTCTCCCACTTAACACCTGTCCCGGAGGCACCGGCTCCCGACACAAACCGGCACACGCAGCTGCGTGCGACTCCTTCAAGAAACATCCGTGGATGTGGTTTCTCTTTTGAGGTGGTTCTCATGACTGCGCTGCTTTGACAAGTTTCTGAGCTAAGGTTAACCGACTTGGATTTTAACGCCTCGCACACGTATCCTCCCTGGAGAATCTTGGCAAGATGGCTCGTCTGACTCCCTGGTCTTTTAAAAACGCGACTGTGGTGCTGAGGGCCGTGCTGTTGGGACGCAAGCTCTGCCCCACGCGGACAGAACGGCTGTTGGAGCCCGTGGTTTCAGGGACACGCATGTGGCCCGAGCCAGGCAGAGAGATCATGGGTGTGACGGCGGCAGGGCCAAGCTCCGCTGTGCCCAGTCACGGCACAGGTGAGGGCCATCTGGAGCGAGCGAGGACCCTGTTCCCCGGGGCTGGGGAATGAAGAGCTCCTGCACCAAGCACGGGCCCAACACCTGTGTAATTAATTCGGGCTCCAGCCGGAGGCCCCTGGATTCTCCAGGCCTGTCCCAGCGACAGGGCTGGGGACCATGGGCTAAGTGCTTCCTCTCTAGGCCTCAGCCCTCCCTCTCTGCACACCTGGCGGCCCCCACGACAAACACGGTTCGCTCCATAAGCAAGCTTGCGCGAGAGGGGTCATTGGCACACACCCCCTTTGCAGCCATCTGGGAAACGAGAGACCAGATTCGTCTTGGAACTGGAGAGACCCCATTCCAGGTGGGAATGGCCCTGACAATGCTCCTGGCCACGGAGAACGTGGCAGCCCACCCTCACTCCAGCAGGACATGGCTGGCTCTGCTAGGAGGGCTGCAGGCTCGCCCCCAGCTGCTGCGCCTGTTCTGGGATCCTGCTTTTGACCCTGCCCTGCTCTGGTCACCTTCCCCTGCCCGGCTCCCTTCACGGCCGCGGGGCCTACAGCTCTCCGACTGGGACCTGCTGCACGCGGAATACGATGCAGACTAACCTCATCCCACCCCCCAACGGCCTACCTCTCTGGCCACACTGCCTGCTGTTTGCCCTTTGAACTTCGGGCCCAGGGCCTTGGCACTTACCATTCCTTCAGCTTGGACAGCTGTCCCCACAACCTCTGCATGGCAGGCTCCTTATCCAGGTGGGCAGAAATGCCCCCTCCTGAGAGACGCCTGTCCCACCCCACTCCCTGAAGTGCCCTGTCCACCACGTGGCCCTTTTCGCCTTCTCAGGAGCACCCCCAGGACCCACAGCTGTCTTGTTTACGTGAGCTCTCTGTGGGCAGGCACTGTCCCCAGCATACAGCTAGCTGGCTGCTGAGACCTCTCTGTCCACCTGCATTGGTCACAGCCGTTCTGCCAGCGCCAGGCTGGAGTTCTGCTGTGCTCGTCATCTGTCCTGCTCTGCAAGGCTAGTTTCAAATCTCTCCTGCTCTGTGACAGTTGTTGTTTCCCTTCACTTTGGGTTGGGCAATGGAGACGTTTCTTGGTGCAGGTTCTAGAAGTCTTCAAATTCAGGCCACACCTGGCCCACGGTACTATGTGGCTGTCTTGTTTCTGACTTTTTGGGCAACCTCAGTTCCCAATGCCCTATCCTGTTGTCACACCAGCTTTCGGTCTGGGAACTATGGTCGGCAGATCTGTGGGGAAACCGGCTGTGCGTGCAGCGCGTGGGGGACGGAGAGGGAGCTGGCGGGGAGGGAGTGGGTGCCGGGCCGTGGCGGCGGCCAGTGGGCATGCTGCACGTCCAGCTGCTGTTCCCCTGCGCCTGCGATCAACAGCCCCACTGCACCGGGGAAACGGAGGCTTGGAGAGGTCGCCTAACTTGCCCGATGTCACGGTTAGCGAGCTGAAAGCTGGATTCCAGCTCAGCCCCACCTCGCTGCCGCTTTGGACAGGTCGCTGCCTTCCAGGCTCGGCCTCTCCTCGCGGGGAGGAAGGGAAGGAGCTGACCTGGACAAGCCCAGTCCCTGCAGCTCTGCCTTTCCCCAGGTCTGAAAGAAAAGATCACCTTCCCAGAGCAAGCTGTTGACTGCCGAGACATGAGACAGGGTTCAGGGGTGTTAGTCATGGGACGGGAGACAGAGGAGGCCCCAGAGACCGGGGGACAGTGGGCAGGAAGGTTGTTCGGTACCTAGAGTGAGGCTGCGACTGAAGGGGGCTCTTAGCTTCGGGGCTCTTTGCCACAGACGGGGTTCTACAGCAACGGAATGAAACAGACACGTGAGCCGGTGCCAGCACCCGCCTCTGCCCCCCCAGTCACTGCTGGGCCTCCCCAGGGCAGCTCACCTGGACAGTAACGAGGACACAGGTTTCTCCACCGAGTTGCTCCGCTCCCAGGGCTTCCGGCCAGCCTCTGTCAGTTCATTTCACGGACGAAGAGCCTCAGAGCTGAGAGGACTCAGCAGCCGCCCCAACCCCCTAGGCACCCCCGACAAGAACTGCCCCCATGCCAAGGGTGCAGAGCCCCCGGGCAGGAAGGTCGCCTCGAGTGGAGCTGCAATCTGGCTCCTTGTTTTCAGTCCCCTGTGGCCCAGGGCAGCCCCTTGAGGGTGGCACATGGCACTGTTGTCACCCTGCGTTTCCTCCACTCCAGGACTCAAGCTCCCGTTCCCTTGACCTGGTTGACCTTGACTTGTGACCTGGTTTCAAGTCCTTTCACCATGCTTGGGTCTCTCTGTGGAATGTGAACCAGCTGGTAATGGAACCAGTGATGCCAGCAATGGGGTAAGCGGGCAGCAGAACCCCTCCCCCAGACACTCCCAGGGCAGCCTGTGTCCCCATCTGCTGTGGGACCCTGGAGCCCACTGGCACCTTTCGTCGACTGCGCCACACACTGCATCTGGCTCTTTCCAGCCTGGACCTGAAAGCTGGTTTGTCTTTTCTTTTTTAAGGTAAGTGGTATCAGACTGTATTTCATTCTACTGCAAGGGATTTGTTGACTTGCACGCGCTGACTTTGCGGGCTGGCCAAAGGCAGAAGACAAAATTCCTAGGGCTGGTGGGGAAGCCACTTGGCCCCAAGACCCTGCAGACCAACTGCAGGTCTGAGGTGCTTCTCCTCAAAGCCACCTTCTGGGATGGGCGCTGGGCCCGCAGGCACAGACCTGGGGCCACAGCCATGCTCCAGGTGTGTGATCTTCGGCAAACCACACAGAGCCTCAACCTCCTAACAGGAAACCACTCAGCCCAAACGAGGGCAGGGACATTGTTTATGTTCATTGGCCAAGAACCTGTGGATTCTGGCAAATCAACAAGCCAGGCAAAGTTCTAGAAGGAGAGGATACAGCACACAGCCTCATGAGGAAGGCAGTTATGTCCACAGGTGGCTGGTGCAGGCATGGAGCAAATGGTTGGCAAGAGTCTCCCTGCCCAGGGTAGGGCAGCCTAACCCCCTGCCTCTCCTTGCCCTGCTCATGAGCACAGGCCTGGCGCAGAGGGGACACTGCACAGATGTTTGTTGAATGACTGAACAACTGGCCCATCACATTCTCTAATTATATCCTCTTTCCCACAGCTCAGATTGGGAGACACCTGAGCAAGGTAAGGGCTGTGTTTCTGGTGGAGCAAGTTCCACTGGTGATCTCTATAATGTCCATCCTTGGTTGGCATTTCACTGGGAGGCATGTTTAAACATCCCTCTTAAGAGTGCTGGGCCCAGCCTGTACTCAGGAGCCCTGGGTGTACTTTTCTACAATTGGACACATGCTCAGGTAAGTGCCTTCCCTTGTGAGGGACTCAGGGTCCTGCTGAGAGACAAGGTGACACGGCAGGTCACCCTGGGGAGCATTGTGGTCAGTTTGCTCTAGCAATTCCAGCCTGCTCAGGGAACTCACAGGAGCTGGGCATCCACGCGGCCTGGCTCCCTCATGCGTTCTGCCCTGTGGTTGGAACCAACTGTCTTTTTCTAAGCGTCCCTGCCTCCCATGCTAAGACCTCATGCCTCCCTGGGGTCAGGATGGCGCCCTCTTACCTGAGGAGTTAGGTGGCTGGCTAGATGCTCGGGTCCCTGGAGATGGGGAGGTGCTAGGATCTTCCTAAAATGGAACAGAAAGGCTCTTCTGTTAGAGTCTGCCCAAGAAGGCTGCTTGGGGCCAGGGCAGGATACCTTTGGACCAGGGTCATTTATAAAACCTCAGTTTTCCAAATGTTCCCAATGAATATATATTACTTTTATAATTAGCAAAACAATAAATATTTAAAAATGAGAACCATGGGCACGGCCAGGGCAGAGAAGGCTGCAGGTAGGTCCAGGGTCCCTGCAGAGTGGTGCAGAGCTGCCTGCTGGCCCTCAACCCCCTCCCCAGTCTGGAGCCCGGGTGGGCCAGACGCCTCCCGCACGCCGTCGCGCTGATGGCTCCCGAGCACTCCATGGAGTGACTCACTCTCTCGCTGTGTAGCACTTCCTGTTGCTTGCCAGGAGCCCTGCGCCACTATTCACTCCCACCCTTCTGTGGCCATGAAGGCTGTGGGGGTGGCCAGGCAGGACCCACCGGAGGGACCTGGCCTCTCCTCTCCAGCCCTGGCTTACTCCTCTTGGGGGGCCGGTGACAGGACCAGATGTCTGGCTGACACTAGAGGCTGCTGTGTGGGTCCCCTGGCGGCAGGGGGGAGGATCTCCCAGGCCTGCAGCAAGTGAGGGTCTACTCAGAGCTGGCCACAGGCACAGCTGATGTCCTAGGGACCTGTTTGTGGAAGACCCCAGATGTACCTCATTTCTCTTTGACAAAAAGAAGAGGAAGGAATCTACTCTAAACACGTTCATCAATGTTGCTGTCCAAATGACAGCTGTACAATGGAGTTCTGACCTCATGAGCCCTCTGTTAAGAGCCTCTGAAGCCGCCTGGCCGTTTGACAGGGCAGGGACAGCCCTGTGCCCCCAGCCTGGCCCTCCAGCTCCATCTCTGGCTGGCTTTCCCCTGCCCCGCACACCCTACTCTGTGCCTTTGCCCACGGTGCCCTCCCTGCCACGCTCACTCTGCTCTTGTCTCAGCCCCACAAGCTTCCAGTTCGTCCTTTGAGACTCTGTGCAAACATCACTGCTCCATGGAGCCCCTCGGCTGGTTTAGGGACTTCCCCTTGGGACCCCCATCCCTCTCTGCTCACCACTGTCCTCACACTGAGAGCAGGCCTGGCACCTCTCAGGAGCTCCCCAAATATCTGAGGGGCGAATGGATGGATTCTGGGAGTCTCTGGTCGAGAGGCAAAAGGATGTACGAGGCTGCAGGTCTTGGGCCGTCTCCTTGGACCTTCATCTCAGAGCGAGCTGAATGCCTGACTATGTCACCAATAAATGTGTGGCGGAGCCCAGGCCCAAGGAAACAGGCGAGGGTGAAAGCTATTACAGGTGAAATTAGAGTCACTAAAGAATTAGTATTCTTCAATATCATTCTATTAAAAAAAATCCTTCACTGCAGAAAAGGGAAGTTCTGCTTCAATTTCAGGCTAGGGAAGAGGCTGCCGGAGCACTTCTCGGCACCTCTGCACAGGGCTTGCGCCCCTTCTCTGTCCACTGTGCTGCCCGCGGGGCCGCGTTTCAGGTGGTGGCACTGGTCCTTAGTGCCGTAACACGATCAGCCCATGGCAGAGTGCCTGCCCGAGTCGCCTGACTGCACATTTGGGGCTCTTTTTTTCTTTTAAATAATACTGGTTTGTTCTCCATTAACTATAAACTTAGTACATGTTCACTGGAGAGAATGTGGAAATACTGAAAAGTATAAAACAGAAAATAAAAGCCAGCCACCAGGGTTTCTCCCTCACGCTGTGCTTGCTCTGCCGCTGGCGCCTGCAGGCCCTGCTCTCTCAGAAGCTCGTCCCAGCGTGAGCCAGCAGTGACCAGGGGCCTAGTTAAAGAAAGAAATGACGGGTGTCCAAGGAAGAGAGCATCATCCTTGGGATTGAAGGGTTCAAGAATGCTTCTCTTCCAGAAGTTGCTGGGATCTGGAATCCACTCTTCTTGCAGCTGGAGGAGTGTGGGTTTAGTGTGCAGGAGCTGGCGCTCCCCACACCAGCAGCTGCCTAGGAAGAGCCAGTGCCGGCCCACAGGCCCTCGTGCTGCTGTTTGGACACCTGTGACTGTCCTGTGGCTCCCAGACACATGGGCCTCTGCAATTGCAGAAATTTGTGGCGAGTTAGTTGGCTGAACTCCACAGTGTGTGCAAGGCATGGGGACAGCAGGTGAGTGAGAAGCCCAAGCCCGGCCTTCCCGGGGCCTACGAGCTGGCGGAGAGCGTGAGTCTGCACAAGCTAGCGTGTGCGTGCTCAGAGCCTCAGGGGAGTATGGGCTCAGGATCCACAGCGGGGAGCCTTGCCGAGCCTGGGGTCTGGGAGGCCACTTTTTAGGGAGTAAGGTTTACACAGAGAAGTGCAGGCCGAGGAGGAGCTGGGGAGGCAGAGGGGCCCGTACGTGCCCAGGGCAGCAATGAGAGGAGCACATCGGCTGGGAGGGCTGGGGCCCCAGGACAGCACCAGCCTGGCCCTGCCAGGTGTATTTCTCCTCTCATTCCGTACTGAGGTGTAACCTTGATGCTGTTTGTATTAACAGTTAAGGTCTAAACTTAGCAGTGTCAGTAGGAGTCTATTTTTACAGGAAAAGCTTAACAGAGAGGACGAGAGAATTGCCACCTTAAGTGGAAGCAGGTGCTGGGAGCTCTGTGCAGCTGGGCCAGGCTCCGGGATGCCCGCTAAGGATGAGCCAGGGGTTCCAAAGTGCTTTTCCATGGCTTACCTGCAGCTCCTGCTAGAATGGATAGACTCAAGGGGATCTTTAGGAACAGAAATAATGTGAAAATAAAAGCTGCCCTGGGCTTCCCCAGACTTTCTGTACCGCAGGTGCACCCTCTGCCCCCTCAAATCCCTTGATGAGGCCCTGGTTTGTCTGAGCGTCCTGGGGCTCCTGGGCAGGTGAGGTGCCCCGCTGTGCTTTGCCAGGGCTCTAGACTTCTCCTGCACAGCACTTCTGGGGCAAGACTTCCTTTTCTGCCTGCTTCTCCGTTAGGGCGGAGCTGTGTCTGGGGGGGGCAGCACTCCGTGAGCACAGACCTACTGCCGGGGCTCCGGGCGCAGCGGCAAGCCCCACAGAGGCCCTCCTATAAATCACCCAGTGAAGTACCTATCACGTGTGGCCAAACCACGTACAACTCAGTGCCCCAAAGGCCTGGCTTGGGACCAGAGAGCCCACCTGGGAGATTTACGTCTATCTGGGAGGGGTGGGGGCGCGCTGCTCACCGTTTGGCTTTCATCTTCCCTTTTGTCAGCTGGCCTGTCTGTCTGGGAGGCTGCTTTTCTCCTAGACGCAGGGAAGGGAGAAGATACCAATCAGCTCCTTAAGGTTCTCACACTGCCCCAACTCCGCCTCCTCCATGCAGGCCCCGGTCCTGGGAAGGAAACGATGATGTCTGCCTTTTTGTGTAGGAGGTGGCTCGTCCAGGCACTCGCCTGGCCAGGAGCCATGCCCGGGTGAGTGTCCAGGTCTCTGCTCATCTATAACCTGGGACACGAAACTGGTCTGAGCAGGGAGAATGGGGTTTGGGATGTTCCTGTCTCTGTTTATTGCACCTGGCAACAGCCACAGCACCTGAGGGAAGAAGGAGTCAGTCTGCAGCTTGTCCAGGTTCCTGGGGGCCTGGGCTTGGCTGAACAGCAGCCGTTCCCAGCACACTCTAGGTGTGGCCACATGGGACAGAGAGGTGTCTCTCTGGGCTGCAGTGTGTCTGTCCCACAGATCAGGGCTGTGGGAGCCTCTGCTGCAAGCTCAGGCCAGCAGACCCACCAGCTGTGGGGGGAGGAAGACATTTCTTCTATTACCCTAAAGCCCCTCCTAACTTGCAACTCAGTTACTCCAGCCATACCTCCCCCAGTCCGGAACACCACTAAGAACCTAGACTCGCTCAGAAAAGGGAAAACTTCGGCCGGGCGCAGTGGCTCACGCCTGTAATCCTAGCACTCTGGGAGGCCGAGGCGGGTGGATCATTTGAGCTCAGGAGTTTGAGACCAGCCTGAGCGACAGAGAGACCCCGTCTCTACTAAAAATAGAAAGAAATTAATCGGACAATTAAAAATATATAGAAAAAATTAGCTGGGCATGGTGGCGCATGCCTGTAGTCCCAGCTACTCGGGAGGCTGAGGCAGGAGGATCGCTTTAGCCCAGGAGTGTGAGGTTGCTGTGAGCTAGGCTGATGCCATGGCACTCACTCTAGCCTGGGTAACAAAGCAAGACTCGTCCCAAAAGAAAAAAAAAAAAAAGAAAAGGGAAGACTTTGAATAGCTCCAAGTGATGCCCTATAGTCAGTCCATACTTTCCCCAGAGGTATGAACCCCCTTTTCTTTCTTTCTTTTTTTTTAAACTGTCCACAGTACTTGTTAATTGCTTATTTACCCAGAGGAACTATTCCTCAGACCACATATTTGTAGCTCAGGGCAGGTCTGCCTGGCTAGTCCCTCGGCCCAGAAACCTGAGGGTCATCCTTGACATCAACTTCTTGTCACAGTAAGCCCGATCAATCCTACCTCTGGATTTTATTGCCAACCTTTCTCCTACCGTCACGTCCCACACCTTCCTGCAAGTCACCATCACCTCCTGGACTACACTAGCCTCCTGACTGGCATACCCACTGCCACTTCGCCCCATTATGACCCCTCGTGCCCAGCAGCCAGTGTCCCGTCTCTTAGGAACCAAAAGCAGGCCGAGCCCTCCCACTCCCTCAGGGGGTGAAGGTGTTCCCCAACAGCAGTGCTCCACACACGCTCCTTTCCCTCCTGTCCTCCAGGGCTGGGAAGGAGACTCTCAACTGCACACCCCTGGAGGCAGGAGACCGGATCTGCGAGAACTGGCATTCAAAGAAGCAGTTCTCTCAGCATTCGCGTCTTCGGCTCCACCCCGTATCCATCATCAAGGCGGTTTCAAAGAGCAGGCTGCTGGCTGTGCACACAGCGCGTTTGTTCTCAGTAGGGCCTCGACTCCCCCACCAGCACTGGCGTCTCACTGGCTCCTGGCAACGCTGGCTTTTTCCTGTTCTCAGAGAGAAAGGTGCTTCCTCCAGTTTGGTCTACACCGTCTACATCAAGCTGTTATCGTTAACTCGCTGGTTTGGGCTTGGGGAAAGCTGTAAGAGTTTCTTTTCCAGAAGCACCTTCTATTTTTCTGAGGCCCCTCTTCAGCTCTCTGAGATGGAGCCCGACAGCCCTGCACAGCGAGGCTATCTCTTCCAGCCTCGCTTTTGGTCCAGGCACAGCATGTCTCAGCTTTCCAGGTACTTTGCCACCGACGCTGCACCTCTGCTGACCTTCCTGCGCGGCTCGCTCCGCTCCTGCTTCGGCCCAGAGACTTGTACTCACCCTTTCACCCTTCGGTGAGGGCCTCCTGGCACTCTCGGTCAGTGAACCGTTCCTACCTTTGTGCAGCCACAGTCAACCTTGGCAGGCCTGGATTTACTGCTATATAAAATGCTCTTAAGTCTGTGGCCTGTTTTGGTGATTTATGTATGCCCAGGCCCAGCAGGAGGCTCAGGAGAGGCCTGTGCTGTGGCTCCGCCTTGCCACTCCCTGACGCTCAAGGCAGGTTCCCCAGGCCCGGCCCCTGCTCCGGAGCGCTGGAGCGGCTGCTGCACTTGGTGGCCCCCGTCTCCTCACTTCATCCTCAGGGCACCGTGCACATTTGATGAGCCGAATTGGGAACATGCTATGAAGACCTCCGTACACACACAGTTCCCCCTCGGCTTAGCCACTTGGAGACTCCCCCGACTTCTCCATTCTCCTGGTCCTCACAGCTGCCTTCCAAGGCAGCAGGACTGCCGCACGGCTTCCTCTGTTCCGACAGGGGAGGCGGCTCCTGTGCCCTCTGGTGTCCAGGTCAGCCATGACGTTGGTAGCCCTAGGTCAGCATTTCTCAGGCCAAGTGACATTTAAAAATAAAATCCAAGCTTTGCATCCCTTTTGAGAAAGAGCTGTATGATCTCTCTTCCTTTTGGCTGGGGGTCAACAAAGAGTCACAGTGACAGGCTGATGGCCTTGGGCAGCTGTAGCCACACCTGCGGGTGTGATGGAAAAGTGGATATCCAGGTCCCAGGCTCAGAGCCCAGCACGACATGGATGGAACTGTCCTCTGTCGGCCTCTCTGGGCTCCTGCCACTCCACAGTTCTTTTTCCTGCACCCTTGATCATTCCCCTGGAGGACCGTGCGCCTTCATCACATACGCACCAGAGTGTCCTCTGTCAACTCTAGCACTGGATCACATCTTACTTCTGTTGGGATCTTAAGTGCAGGACTGTTCCTCCTTTCCCCCTGAATTTATCTCTGAAATTATCTCCAAATTTGTCTCTGCTCAGGACAGGGCCAGTACACGCAGATGCTGCAGTAGATACCTTGCTAAACTAAAATGAGGGAGCCAGGGCTGGGAGCACTCCTCTGGCTTGCTGCCTCAGAAGCCCTTGAGAAGGGGAAACTTAAGTAACCGTTTCCCCTGCTTGGCTAACCCTGGGTGACAAAGGATTCTGGGGCCAAGCAAGATTCTTCATGCAGCGCTGAGGGACAGGGGCGTCCCGACAGGCACGCTGAGTTTGGGGAGATGGAAAGACCCACCTTTTGGCCAGCAGTTTGTTCATTTCCTCCATGAGGCCTCCTCCGCCACCCCCGCTGCTTGCCCGGTTGGCATCGGACTTTGAGGTCCCGCTGGGACTGGAGCCTCCGGATGCATCTTCTGGCTGAGGGTAAAGGACGCCATGTTTTAGACCCTGGTGCCGACGGCAGGACGAGTAGCAAGGATGTGAGAGGACGCAGGGGACCATGTGTGTACATGTGACTCCTACAGTGGCACTGCTACACGACACCTCAGGAGTCGTCTAGTCCAACATCCCCCAATCCCACAGGGGAAAAAACCAGGACCGAGAGGGGGACAAGGCCTGGCTAGGCCTGCATGCCATGCTCATGGTCAGTGCCCTTGCCGAGACCAGCCGTGACATGAGGCAGGGGAGATGATTCTGTGGGAAGGAAATGAGATTTAAGCCAAAGATCTATATCAGGGGTGCTCTTCTTTCAACCACAGCCCCCCTTGGCCTTGCTCCAGAGTGTGTGCGGAGGGGTCAGGGCAGACACACCGAGTTGGGTGACTGATTTCCACGAGACGACTTGGTACCGTGGCAAGAGCAAGGGACTTAGATTCAGGAGACCCAGGGCTTGAGTCCAAACTGCAATTTATAAACTGTGTGATGTGAATGCAACATTTAAACTCTCTGTGCCTCAGTTTCCTCACCTACAAAGGGGAGATGTTCTTGGCCTGCTTATGAAGGTCATTGTGAGGACCAACAGCAGTTGTGTAACTCAAGCACCTCGTAATTCACAAAGTGCCGTCCCATGTGTTTTCTCATTTAATGACAAATGGCAGAGGGACAGCTAGGCTTGGGGAGGGTAGTGCATGCTCAGCATCTTACAGACGAGGGAGGGACACAGAGGCGCTCTGCAGACGGTGTGAGGACCCCGGCCCCACCCACACCCCCACCCCATGCCCAGGGACGCTTACCCGCTGGACTCTCCTCAGCTTGGCCCCGGCCAGGGCGGCGGCCAGTCCTGACACGGAGCTCTCGTCCTGGCTGGCCCCCAGGGCTCCTCCGGCTGGCAGTGGGGGTGGGGGCGGCGGGGTGGCCCCCGTGGGTGGAGGCGGGACAGGGGGTGGGGGTGGGGGTGGAGGCCCGCTACATGAGAGGGGGGCGCTGGCTGCAGAAGAGGGATGCCCCGGTGGGAGGATGGGCCCTGAAACGCAACAGGGGGGCTCAGCCAGCCTCCAGCATCCAGCTGGGGCCTGAGCCTGCCGTTCTCACCTCAGGTCCCCGGGGGGAAGGACAGAGGGCAGCCTGCTCCTCAGAGGGATGAGGAGCAGCTCCAGGGGTGCTTCTTCCAGGAAGCCCCCATGGAATGAACTTGGCCCTGGCACAGTTACTTCCTGCTCTGGTCCCTCAGCACTCCGGCCCAGGCTGGGCCCGTGGTCTCATACACTCAATGATCCCCGAGCTCAGCCGACTGCTCTTGCCCAGTCGTGCTCCTCCAGTGGGAAGGAAGCTGTCTGGTGGCACACATGGCGCCTTTTCTCTCCTCTGTGCCTTCTAAGTACCTAGCGCCCCCTCGGCAGGAGCTGTTCTGAGATCCAACTGTGACTGATCCTTGGTCTTTGGGGACTGTGGCAGGTAACTGGGGTCCCAGGGCCAACTGGGAGCACAGGTCAGGACGCAGTGCGGGGTGCTGGGCTCCACTGTCTGTGTATCCAAGCCCCCGCCCCCCCATCACCCGAGCCTCGGTTTTGTGCCAGGCACCGTGCTAGGCACTGGGGTGTGGCGCTGAGGTGCAACAGCCACAGGCCGCCATGGTGCTCACAGCCTGGGAGGGAATAGGCAGTCAACGAATCACACAGGCGAGTGCAGCTCTGGGACTGTGGCGAGCTGACAAGTGCTACCAGGAGCAGGCACGTGGCGCTATGCTGGCAAAGAGGGGCTCCGAGCTGGCCACAGTTCACGGGAGAGTCCCCTGCGCCACGGCGAGGGAGCAGGGCCGTGGCGGGAGAGCAGGAGTCAGGTCAGGTGAGGTGGCGAGAGGGAGGAAGGGGACAGGCGTGCTTGCGAGGCACTGGAAGGCAGGTGGGTACTGGGCTGTTCCAGGAGTGACGGGGAAGGGGACACGATGACGGCATCAGAGCTGCATTAGAAATGCAGAGTGGCCAGAGGGGAGCAGCAGGCCTGCGAGGAGGGCCTGCAGCGTCTAGGTGAGAGGTGATGGCATCGGTCAGCATCTCCCGAGCAGGTGCTCCTGTAACCAGCGGGGGCTCGGTTTTCTCATCAGTAAAATAGGATAATAGTCACCTGCTCACTTCATAGGGCGTTTGAGAAAATTAAACAAGACAAAGGATATGAAAGCACTTGGCAAATTATAAAGTCCTGTACCTATCAATGAACATTACAATTTCTAGAAAACCCTCTCCTCCTCCTTCAATGTGCTAAGTTCCATTCAATGTCTGAGACTGAAGCTTAGCAACACTCTGGGAAGTCTCTGACCGGGGTGGATTGGGACCCTCCTGTGTGCCGTCAGCACCCTGCACTTAACTTGGCCACAGCGTGCACCAGACGATATTGTAAGTGTTGGTTCTTTTGCCTCCTTGACTGGACGATGGGCTCCCTGGGGGCAGGGCTGTGTCTTGTCTGCCTTGTCCATGGTTTCGTCCCCAGCCCTTAGCACAGTGCCTGAGACACGGGAGGTGCTCATCGGATGTCTACTCCGGGAATGAGTGATGGGAGGGCAGAAGGTTGGTGGGCAGGGGCTGGACCAAGCTGAGCGAATTCCCCAAACCCTCTGCTCTGCTGTCTCACTCCCCTATGCCATCTAAAGTGACCGTCACACTCTGAGACCTAGGCAACCCACAGCTCCTCACAGAGCCCCTGGGCCTCGTCTAAGTGGAGGGGCTGGCACCCAGCACCCGAATGGGAGGGAGGCCCCGAGGAGGAGGGGCTCTCACCTGTGGCCGAGGTTCTTCTCTCTAGAGATTCCTGCCGTTGCTGCTGGTGCTGCTGCTCCATCACTTGTCTGCGAAGCAACCACAGCAGGGCGGTCAGGACAACAGCTCAGCGTCTGCAAGCCCCGGCTTTAGAGTCGGGTTTCGCTGGCACTTCCTAAGAGCCACCGTGTGCCAGGGCTGCCTCCACGTACCAGAGAGAGGGGCTGTGACTGGCTCGAGTTCCTGACAGAGGGAGTGCTGGCGTCTCCTGGTCCTCAGGTACCCCAAAGAGGGAGCCCCTCATGGGAGGCTGATTTGATTTCACTTATTAGAGTGACCAAGCCCTTCCCTAGGCTGGATGGGATCATCTGGCTTTTGGGGGCCTGTGGCCTCATCAGACCCAGCCTTAGAAACACCTGTTCTTACTGTACCTGGCCAACCTCCCTGGGACAATTCTCAGGGACATGTGGTAGTCAGGAGAAATGGACATAAAGGCCACGTGCCTCATTCTCTTTACCACAGACCAGCTGCAGGCCCAGCCTCCATTTCTCTATCTCACTATCTATTTATTTTCTTTAGAGACAGGGGTCTCACTATGTTGCCCAGGCTGGAGTGCAGGGGCTATTCATAGGTGGGATCACAGCTCACTGCAGCCTCAAACTCTTGAACTCCTGGGCTCAAGCGATCCTCCCGTCTCAGCCTCTTGAGTAGCTGGGACTACAGGTGTGTACCACCAAGCCTGGCAAACTTTTTTATTATTTGTAGAGATGGGGTCTCACAATGTTGCTCAGGCTGGTCTCAAACTCCTGGCCTCAAGCAATCCTCCTGCCTCAGCCTCCCGAAGTGCTGGGATTACAGATGTGAGCCACCACATCTGGCCATCTCTGAGTGCTCTCAAAGGTTCATTGAATGAGGACACTGACCCACAAATACATCCACAGAATCCAAAGACCGAAATACTGGAATGGGAAGGGCCTTCGGGGACCACCTAGTCCAGGGACAGCAGCAAGCGTGCAAGTGGTGTGGAGCCAACTCTGAACACCTGCTGTTGAAGCGCAGGGTTAATAAGTGTGCTGAGGCCAACTCTGGGCTTGGTGAGAGAGAGCACTAGAAGCACCTATTTCATGGGGTTCCTGTAGGCAGTATGCCTGACACCCCCAAAATAATGGAAACATCCCTCTTGGCATTAAAGGTATTTGAAAAGCTCCCAGCAGCATCTGCGCTAGATTCTCCTTTCAAACTGCCGAAACATCACCCAACACTCCAACCTCCCTAGCAGGATCCATAGACTCAGAAAACCATAGTATTCTAAAATGGAGATGTTTGGAAAATACTTAAAAATCAGTCTGCACCTGTGCTTCTGTTTGCATGAAAACAGAAAGGTGCCTGTGCTTGGAGTCACTACCTCACTGTGGGCCCCGAGGGAGTGATCTCTCCCCTGCCGCCCCTTCCCCCAGGAAAGTGGCACTGGACAGTGGCCAAGTGAAGGTCCTGACCCTGGGGTTTGATGCTTGCAGTCACATCCCGACTGGCAGGTGCTCTGGTCCGTGGACACGCCCTCCGCAGCCAGGGACCTTGCACGCATTTCACTTGGGCCTTGGGTTAAGATAATGGGGCGCTGTGGGTGCTGAACCAGTTCTGAGAGAACAAGGGAAGGATCTATTTAGCAGCCATTTGACGCCACATTTATACCTCACAGGCTCCCTACTTCATGCCCTTTTCTGGGTGGGGTGGCCCTGGGACCTGGCAGAGAGCTGCAGTCGGAGTCAGACGTGACTGCCAGGCAGGGCTCTGCCTGCAGCGCCCGTTGCTCTGGGCGAGCCCTCTGCACCCTGAGCTTCAGCTGGCTCCTCTGGGAACAGTATAACAAGCCGTCAGGCGAGAGCAAAGGTTCAAGTGAGACAATTCACGTCAAAGTCCTCTGTACCCTGCAAAGTGCTGTATTTCTGTGAGGCTGTCAGACAGGCCTGCGGAGTCAGTAAAGACATGCGAGTCCACAGACAGGAATCTCACATTGTGAGCACTTTAGCCTGCACCCTCCTGCTGTCTGTCACCTCATGTGCTTGAGAAAGGCAGAGCAAGGCTAGCACCATCTTCAAGTGGGGAAACTGAGGACTAGAGCAGCAACTTGCTCAAGGTCTTAAAGCACAAAGTCAGAGACAGGTGGAGCCTCAGAAATCACTCACCCTAAGGCTTTCATTTCTCAGCCTTAGGGACAGGCCAGAGAAAAGGAGCTGTAGGGAGAAGTCTCACACCACCGGTGAGGGGCAGAGGTCCAGGGCTGGGCTGGAGTCCAGCCACAGGGAACGGGAGCTGTTCTCCCTGTCTGACAAAGCTGGTGAGCGTGGCCCGTGTCAGGCCTAACTCCCTCGACACAGTCAGAAGAAGCAGAGCACCATGGTGGAGGGGCAGACCTGGGTTCCAGTCCTGGCTCTGTCATTTCCCAGCAATGTGACCTTGGGGAGGCTGCTCCATGGGTCGCCAGCATGACCCCTTCTGCAATTTCGGGACCACTGCCCTGGCCCTTCCTCCCAGCACCAGCACTTTAGAAGCTCTGCTGGCAGGGGTAGGGGGGTCATTCCTATGGCCCCTAAAACATAGGCCGTGGGAGCTGCCTCCTCCTCAGGCAGAAGCCTCCTCCTCAGGCAGAATCCCTCCATGTCATAACTGCCTCCTAGCACTCTTGGGGAGGTGAAATGAAATGACAAATGAACAGCACTCAGGACACTGCAAGGCCCATCAAAAGAGCTTAGCAAATGGAGGTTAGTGGTGGTCTCTGTAGACCACGGATTCTCGTTGTCATTCCTGGTCTTGACGTCTGAGACAAGCTGCCATGCATTAGTTCCCTTTCTTTCTGGTCTGGCCTGTTCCTCCTCTCCCCAGCATGTGCTTCTGGGAGTCCTGGCCCTAGCTGCAGGGGTGTCCTCACTTGCTGAAGGGGACCCCTGCCACCAGGCACTCCTGGGGAGGCTGCCAGGCTGGCCCCTGCTGGGTGCCGGGTTACCTTCTCTGGATGTCCATCTCATCAGGAGAGGGGCCATTCTGCACCTGACGCTGGCTGGAGGGGCCTGTGGGGCAGAAGCACAAAAGCCGAATGGTTAGCAAAGGGACGAAAGGCTCCGACAAACAAACCTGTGACCGTGTCCATCTCTGCCCCTCCTGGCTGCGGAAGAGATCTCTCCCTGACCTTCTCTTAAAAGTTGGCCCCACACCTGCGCAAGGCCCTGCCCCACCTCCGTCTCCCAATCACCGCTTCTCGTGGCTCCTCCCTGTCAGTCAGTAAATGGGACCCAGCTCATCCCTCCCAGCGGCTGGCTCCTCTCCTTCCCCCGTGAACGGCGCTTGCTGTTCCTGCCTCACATGCCACCGCCCCTCAATCCTTTCACATCGACTCTGCCTCCCCACGTCCCACTAAGCTGTTCTAACTAAAATCACCAGGGGACTTGGAGTCGCAAAACCCCAAAGACCCATTTTATTCCTCTTTCTGAGCAAAGGACTGACACCGTTGGTGAGTGTCACAGTCAGAGGTTAAAACCCAGGTCTGTCCGAGCCGAAGCCCGTGCTCCTCGCCCCCACGTGACGCCCTGCTGTCTGCATCAGGAGCCTGGAGCTGTGGGGCGGGAAGCAACCAGCTCCTGCCATCCCTCCCTTTGTTCTGGACGGACACGGAGCCTTCTGGGACACACCCTGCCTTGGACCCTGAAGCCAGGACCCCGGAGCAGGCCAGGTCTGCTGCTCGCCCCGCGTTTAGAGGAGAGCTGGTGCTGGGCACCCGCATCAGGGCCCCGCTGTTGGGTCACATCGAAGACGAAATCCAGGCTCTGTCCTAACCTGAGATCAAGCTGACTGTTCCTTCCCTCTGCCAGCTCTGGTGTCACTCAGGACACTTCCCTGACTAGCAGGGAAGCAGCTTTGTTTCTGCCCAGGATGCGGTGACAGTGTCACTCAAGCAGTAACATCGGTGACGGGGTGGGGTGGGGGCAATCCCTTTTCCTTCCTACTTCAGAGGCTCGGGGTCCTAGTGGTCCTTCCCTCCTTGTTCTCAGGAAACAAAAGCGGTTAATATGTGAGCACTACTAGAGCAATGTCCAGGCACTTTTTAAAATTTAATTCTACTTCCCACAACCCCGAGGCTCCCACGAGGACTTGTAACAGCTGAGGAAACCAAGCCCAGAAAGGTCAGGTGATTTACTCGAGGTCTTACGTATAGAAAGTGGCAGAGCCAGACGCAAGCTACCTGCAGAATCCAACTCTCTTTCTTAAATTCCATCGCGCTGTGGTGTGAGACTAAGGCCAGCCTGAAGAACGAGGATGGAGGTGGCAGACTCGCTGCTGCCCTCGCTGGTGCTCTCAGGTGCTGCTTGTGTCTACGCGGCAGCAGACAGGTGTCCCCCACCAACTCCACTCCTGGCTGGGGCAAGAGGGATGCAGGGCTCAGCTTCACGCCCAAGCCGCCCTGCTGCTAGCTTGGCCCGGGCCGTGGGTTTTGGCTCCGACAACAGGACTTCTACCTTGTTCTAAGACCTGGCCCAGCTGCTGAGTCCACTCCTGGATCTGGACTCTGTCCTTCTGGAGGCCGAGTTCCTGTCCCAGTGACCTTCTTTAGCGCTTGGTCTGAGCACTGGTCCCGAGGCCTTGCGGTGCTCGGGCTCCACTAGGTGCCGTAAGGTCCTTCCTCGTCTGCTTGCTGGCTTACTTTGGATTTCGCAAGTAGTTTCTGTCTGGCTCTGCCACTTTCTGTTAATATATGTAAGACTCTGAGCAAGTTATAGTCACTGGAACTGTTTTCCACCAGCTGTCAGGACCCCAGATGGCAGCCAGGTGCCCACATGGTGGTCTGTTGTGGTCGTGAGCTTTGGATTCTCATCCTGCTTGCTGGACTGGACTCCTCCCAAGACCCTCAGCCAACCTGCTCCTCCAGAGGGTGAGGAAGTCCGACAGGAGCCCTAGCCCCTTCCAGGGGGCTCTGCCCTTGCACTTAAGACATACTTCAAAATTAGCTGCAGTTTTAGATACTACAGAACAGGAAGGGATAATACGTGATTGCATAAGACCTTCCATTCTTCTCAAACTAAGAAAGTGTTAGATTTTTAAGCTACAAGGGTCCTTAACATTATGAAGTACAGTCCTTTTGTTTTAGGAGTGGGAACTAAGGCCCAACAAGGGAAAGGGGTTTGTCCAGTGTCACCCAGGGTGTCTGTGACAGACACGAGATTCCATTGCCTCCTTACTCCTGGCCTGTTCCACCCACCCACTGGCATAGCTGCCCCCAGGGTAGAGTCGGCAGGGAGGGACAGGGTGGAGGGGCATTCCTCCAGACTGTCGGTGCTCTCGAGGGAAGTCCCAGGCTGCAGCCCACTTGTACGTGCTGCTTCTCAAGGTGGGAGCGCCTGCACGAAGGAAACCTCTCCGATGGCTGGTAATCAGACTCCCATCTGTTCCAGTGTTGTGTTACTGCAGATGACTTCCCTGAATTATGCAATCAGAAGCCAAGGTGGAAGATGTGGCGTGTGTCTTGTGCTGCAGATGAGCACCTTGGAGTCACCTCTGAGCTCCTGAGCAGAGCTTGGATCTTGCAGGATCCAGGGTGGGTGGGAAGGTGGGGGTTCCAGCTCCCCCTTCTCTGCCTCCCACAACCCATTAGTTACTGAGTCTTACTGGTGCTGTGTCTGATGCCCTGCAGAATCCACCTTGCCTTTCTGCCCCCACTGGGCTGCCTCAGCACCTCTCTTTTGGACCCATGCCTTGGTCTACCAATGGGACCCTCGCCTCCACTCTCTCCCTTACTCATCTACTTTGACACGCAGCCTACGTGATCTCTGGAAAGCACAGACACAGCTGTGTATAGGGTTGGGTCCAAGCCCAATCGAACAAGATTCAAGGCTCTTCGGGCTTGGCCCTGCCCACCCTGTGGCTGCTTCTCCTGGACGTGTCTCCGCGGTAGCCCTGCATCTGCCCGCTGGGCGCTGATCCCACACAGTGCTTCCCACCTCGACATGTTTTCGTGAGCTACTCAATCCACCTGGGACACCTCCTGCCAAGACTTCAAGGCCCAACTCAATAGTCGCCTATTCCAAGAAGCCCTCCCCAAGTCCTCACACTCCTCCTACCCAATGCCCATGTGCCTGTCTCATAAAACTCACAACTTTCTCACCAACATTACAGTGATTTGGGAGCGGCCTCCCTGTCTGTACTGGACGCTGAGCTTTGAGGGCAGCGAGCTCACTCAGCACTGCGTGCTCACGGCCTGCCTCACCTCAGACATGGTGCGTTTACCGAACTGAGTGGGAAGGCTAGAGGGAGCTCATGCTCTCCCACGCCGGGGGGAGAAGCACAGGCCCAGAGCCAGGCTGCCCTAGCCTGGGTGAAGACAAAGATGAGCCCAGAGGTGAGGCACAGAAATGCAGCGCTTTTAAATTGTGCTGCTATGAACATTCGAGTGCAGGTGTCTTTTTCATAGAGCGACTTTTGTTCTTTTGGGTAGATGCTCAGTAATGGGATTGCTGAATCAAATGGTAGTTCTACTTGTATCTCTTTAAGGTATCTCCATATTGCTTTCCACAGAGGTTGCACTAGTTTACAGCTCCACCAGCAGTGTATGAGTGTTCCTATCTCTCCGCATCCACGCCAACATTTATTGTTTTGGGACTTTTTGATAAAGGCCAGTCTCACTGGAGATAAGTGATATCACGATTGCAAAGATGTGGAAACAACCCAAATGTCCATCAATACATGAGTGGATTAATAAACTGTGGTATATGAATGCCATGGAGTACTATTCAGCTTTAAGAAACAATGGTGATATAGCACCTCTTGTATTCTCCTGGATAGAGCTGGAACACAATTCTACTAAGTGAGGTATCCCAAAATGGAAAAATAAGCACCACATGTACTCACCATCAAATTGGTATTAGCTGATCAACACTTAAGTGCACATATAAGAATGACATTTATTGGTTGTTGGGCAGGGGGAGTGGCGAGGGAGGAGGAGGAGACGGGCGCATACACAAAGAGTGCAATGCGCACCACCCAAAGAACGGACATATTTGAAACTTGGACTTGGGGGGGAGGGGGGGGGGCAAGGGCAACATACGTAACCTAAACATCTGTACCCCCATAATATACTGAAATAAAAAAAAAACAACAGAAATGCAGCGCTTGTCCGAGTGGAGGCTGGTGGGGGGAGTCGCTGGTCCTTCCACCCCTACAGCCCAAGTGCCGGCCGCACTCACGGCCAGCCATCCCGCCACAGCTCTCTGAGGCAAGCAGGACGAGCAGTGGTGGCTCTCAGAGGTGAGGGGACTTGCCCTAAGCCATGGGGCTTGCGATGCTGGTGTCCCCAGCTTGCTGAGTCTGGAGCTGATCTTGCTGGGGCCTGGCCTACCCCCTGGAGACTTCAATTAAGCAAACTCTCAACCCTTTTCTCACTCACTTCAAACAAGTTTTGCCAAAGTCAAAATAAAGAGCCTATTCGCAAGACAGATGAATGAAAAGGAAAAAGGGAGGTTTAAACAAACTTCTGGGAAAGGCAGGGTGGCTGCGAATGACTGGCATCTTGTGGGACCAGCCCCGGCGGCAGGGCTTACCCCTGGTAGCAGGCCAGGCAGGTGGGGAGAGGTTGGGACCTGTCCCCTGACTGACCTCTTCCCTGAACACAAAGAGCTGCGGAGGACAAGGCTGAGAGCCCAGGCCTATCTGCTGCAAGGCCCACTGGACCATGATGCTTCCTGGGGAAGGAGCTGCTGTCTTGGAGGCCCACTTTCCAGCTTCAAGTCTAAGTCCCATCAGACACCTGCCCCTCTCACACATGGGAGTGACCCAGAGGAGGTCCTTTCACTCTTGGGGTCATGAGGTGGGGACACAGAGAAAACAAGTGAGAGGAGAAGGTGAGGCTGGGTTAGACTCAGCCATGAGCCCACATGAAAGGCAGTATGGTGAGGAGGGCTGAGGCAGCCAGCCAGAGGGGACGGGAGCTGGAGGCCTCGGGACAGAGCCTGCAAGGTGGGGGGAGACCGCAGCCAGCAGGGGGGCAGCCCCTCGGAGTGGGGGAAGTGAGCACTGGGAGAAG